GACAGACATAGAAAGACAACGGAGAGAAAGGAAGAACAAAAGAGATAGCGACGAAAAAACAAGAAATAAAAAAGTACAACGGGCCCTACCTTAATATACGGATATTGAGACAAAAAACATTAAGAATATAAAGTGACCCTTTTCTCGCCGCCACTTTTTTTCCCTCTTATTTGCCTCTGGAAAGGAAAGGGTTAATTGAGCATTTTATTTCCATCCTATCCGCATTATTTTTCCCCCAGAAAAAAAAAGAATTGTCCTTATTATCATTCTGTCTTTTTTTCTTTTTCTTTTTCTTAACTAGCGCTCTTTTCACTTCCCTTGCATCCTTTCATTTTGTGTTTTTCTTTCATTTTATTTCATTTTCTCTCGACAGTTCTTTGCTCTTTCTTGACATTATTTTCTGTTTATTTGTTTATCTGTCTATCTTATTTTTAGACAGAATCACCCGTATTTCGAGAAATAGGTGTAGGTATGTGTTGTGTCTATTTATCTGTCTGTCTAAAGCACATCTGTCTCTATCTGTTGTTTTGTCTTCTCTGTCTCTTTCTCTCTACTAATTCTATCGTATCTCTTCGATATAACTATATATAGTATATATATATATATATATATATATTAATATATTATTATATATTATATATGTATGTATGTAATGTTGTATGTTAATTATATATGGTTATACATAACACACACAACACCCACACCAACACACAGCACAACACATACACCATCACACACACACACACATACTTACACACACACACACCAAACCACACACACACACCACACACACAACACATGTATAATATATATAAATATATTACGTATATATATCTATATATAATTATATATATCAAATGTGATGCAGATACCTTTCTTTTCTCTCTTCTCTCCCGTGTATCCCTCGGCCCCCCCCCCCCCCCCAAACCCGCCCGACCCCGCCCGAACCCCCGAACCCCCCCCCCCCCCCACCCCCCACCCCCCCCCCCGCCCCGACCGCGCCCGGACCCCCCGAACCCCCCCCCCCGCCCCCCCCCCCCCCCCCCCCCCCCCCCCCCCCCCCCCCCCCCCCCCCCCCCCCCCCCCCCCCCCCCCCCCCCCCCCCCCTCCCCCCCCCCCCACCCCCCCCCCCCGTCTCCCAACCGACCCCCGCACGCTGGACAATAAACAATTATGCCGAGAATTTCCACTCCCCTTTTTTTTTAAGGGCCCGCGGAGCGACGCCGGTAAAAATTGAAACAAAGACACGGTCGTCCGAGCTTCCTCTTCCCTCTCCCTCTCTCCTCCGCCTCTCTCTTTCTCCTTTTGTTTCTTTGCTTTGCCACTTTCCGCTCTTCTCTCTCCTCTCTCTCTCTCTCTCTCCCCTCTCTCTATTCACTATCTATCTATCTATCTATCTATCTCTACCTTACCAACCTATCTAATTCTCTCATCTATCTACTTATCAATCTATCTCGCTGTCCCTCTCTCTGGTCTTCTTGTCTCTCTGTCTGTCCTCTCTCTCTCTCTTTCTCTCCTCTTCCTCTCTCTCTCTCTTCTCTCTCCTCTCTCTACTCTCTCTCTCTCTCCTTCTCTCTTGCCTCTCTCTTCTCTCTGTCCTCCTCTCTCTCTCTCTCCTCTACTCTCTCTCTCTCCCTCTCTCTTCTCTCTCCTCTCTCCTCTCTCTCTCTTCTCCTCTCACTATCTATCTATCTTATATATCTATCTATCCTATATCTCTTCTCTCTCTACTCTTCATCTTCTCTCTCTCTTTCCTCTCTCTCTCTCTCTCTACTCTCTCTCTCTCTCCTCTCTCTCTCTCTCTCTTCTTTTCTCTCCTCATCTCTCTCTCTCTCTTCTGCGTCTCTCTCTCTCTCTCTCTCTCTCTCTCTCATCTCTCTTCTCTCCTCTATCTATCTATCTAATTCTATCTATTATAATTCTATCTATCTATTATCTCTCTCTCTCTCTCTTCTCTCTCTCTCTCTCTCTCTCTCTCTCTCTCTCTCTCTCTTCTCTCTTCTCTCTCTCTCTCTCTCTCTGCTCTTTCTCTTTTTCCTCTCTCTTCTCTCTCTCCTCTCTTTCCTCTCTCTCCTCTCTCTCTCTCTCTCTTCTCTCCCTCTCCTCTCCATATATATACATATATACTATATATATAATATATATATATATACTATATATACTACTATATATATATATACATATACATGCATACATACATACTATATATATATATATATATATATATATATATAATTATATATTATATAATATAACTTATACCACACACACACACACACACAACCACACACACACAACCACAACAACCACACACCACACCCATATATATAATTATATATATATATATTATATATATATATATATCACTTATATATATTTAATATATATTATATATATATGCTATATATATTATATAATATATATATATATATATATATTATATATATATGTACTATATATATTAATATATATATATATATATATATATATATATAATAAATAAAATAATCAATATATATATATATAACTATACTATTATATATAATAAGTACTAATAAAATTATACCTATATATCTATATTATTAATATAATACACGCAACACATATAATATATCCTTACTTTCCTCTCTTCCCCTCACGCGCCCAGCCCCCCCTCCCCGCCTCCCTGTCCCCTCCCAACCCCCTCCCCCCGTTGCTTGTCGCCCTCGATCCCATCTCCTCCTAATCGAAGTTGGAGGAAACTTCCTCGCGCCTAATTTGTTCAATGGCTGTCCAAATGGGCGTCCCCAGCGAAGTCCGCTCTTGAGACTAAGGGGGCTGATTAAACCCCGACGACATCGCTGAGTAAGGTCTACCTTTGACCCCTCCCCGACCCTCCTAGTCCTCCCGATCCTACCCCCATCCCATTTCCATCCTCGCTTCTCCCGGCATGCCCCCAACTTCCAGTTCCTGCTCCCCCTAATCTCATCCCCCTCATGTCCGTTCCCCGCTCTCTCCCCATTCCCTATTCCCCCTCTCTCCCCAATTCTCCCATCCCAGTCCCCCGCCTCCCCCTCGCATCCCACCATTCCATCACCCCTTCTTCCCATCTCCCGCTCCCCCTGCTCCCCCCATCCATCCCCCGCCTGCCTATATACACTGTGTGAGCTCATTCCCAATCCCACGGCACGAGAGAGACGAGAAGATCCCTAAATGACCGCACCGGAAAGAGGATCACCGCCCCCTTGCCCCATAGTGTGTTCAGACCCCTCTCCTCCGCAGTACTGCTTAAGAAGGCCAGAACGAAGACTGATTTCTGATTAAGAGAATTCAAGACATGACCTGCTCATTTCTTTCAGCTTTTCATTTGTTTTCCATTTTTTTTCTCTCTTATCTCTCCTCTATCTTCTATTTACCAGTTTTCTCTCTCTATTCTTTTACTCTGAGTTCCCTTTTCCTCCTCTCTGTCCTTCTCTCTAAGAAGAGACCCCTAACATGCACTATCTTCCCTCCATTTATGCTTGACCTTCCACTTCTGCATCTATCCTCAGATACTTCGACCTCCCCTTCTCTCGATCCCTCCAACTTTCCTCTGCACCCATTCGAATCCGACACTATTCCCTCCCACTCTTCCTCCCAAGAGTAGACACGATCTTCATTACACGATATATACCGTAATCCCTATACCATCCTCCTTGAGTCATCGCCTTACATCTTCTCGATAGAGAAGACGAAGCAAATAAGACCTCTCCCATGATATGATACAACGCAAATGCCAGACATTTAGACGAGAAGAAAAAAAGAAAGAAGATAAGAACAAATAGAAGAGATCGACCGACTACCTCAATCGGAAGTGCTACCGTGGGTGCCTTGCGACCCGCCGTGAGTCGAGCCGGGGGGGGCACGGCCCACGCAACGCCCACATCGCGGCAAACACGACAGGAAAAGGAAGCGATTGAGCAGGAACCAAACCCCCACATAGAAGAGGAACCCGAGCGACCAGGACCGCTCGGAGCCGGGAAAAAACGGAAGAAACACCGGCCTGGCAAGGGACGCGTGGGGCGCGGCGACCGCACGGAGGACCGCGATGGACCAGGAACGCGGCGCCCGACGGTCCCGCGTGGAAATACTCCCGCTCGCAAGACTGCCCCGGTCGGAACAGGTGTTTCGCTGCCGGTACCCTTTGGAGCGCGGACCTCTACGCTGTCATCCACCCTAGTTGCCCGTGGTATCACAAAGAACCATGTGCTCGAGGCGCCTCTACAAAAGTAAACCCTCGAAACCAACAGCCCGAAAAAGTACCCCTCCACTCGCGCAACCATCCACATAAAACGTGTCTTCCTCTCCGATTGGTCAGCATATACGACAACATCAAGTCCCACGACCATGACCAGAAAGATGGAAAGTAACAGAGACAGCGTGCACGGTGTCCCCAACTGCGCCCGCGGACCAAAAAAAAATACAAAACGCCCAACAACCGTATTACTACACTGATCCGCCACACGACAACACCTCCCCACGGCAGGGAAAAATAGAAAAAAGCATAACCAAGGCCACAGAAGAAACCGAGCGACAAAAAGGAGGGAAACCAGCAGAGGAAGAGAAAAAGGAGCAAAGAAAAAGAAGGAAAGAACCAAACCAGAAAAAAAGGAGGACAAACGACCGGGAGCACCCGACACCAACGCCGGCGCAAACAGCCCCGGAACCGCCCAGGCGGCCCCGGCCCGGCCCCGCGGCCGAACACCGCCACCAAGCGAGGCGAAGCCAGAGAAGGGAAGAAGCTAAAAAGGTACACACAACATAGACAGCAAAGTAGTAAAGACACAACACACAGAGAGATTACACAAAAGAGTGACTGACAAACAAAACCACAACCAGACGAGACCAAGAAGAGAAGAAAGAAAACCTAAGAGTTAGAGAGAGCAAAAGAGCAAAAACAAGCGACACACCACACACACACACCAGAGAGAGAGAAGAATAATATAAGTGTGAGAAATAGAAAGAAGAGAATAAATAAGAGAGAAAGAAAGAAGAAGAAAGAAGAAAGTAAGAAAATGTAGAAAGAAAAAAGACGAAAAAAAGAAAAAAACCGACGAAAGAGAAGAGAGAAAGAATAAGAACACGAGAAAAAGGGGGGGGGGGGGGAGTGGGGGGGTGGGGGGCCGCGGGGAGGGTGGGGCGCCCGCCGGGCGGCGACGGGCAGGGCGCGGCCGCGGGTAGGTGGGAGCTCTACACAACACATACACAACACAAACACCACACACGACCCACACACACAACCACACAACACACACACCACACACACACACACACACACACACACGACACACACACACACCAACCCAAAAGAAAGCCAAGACAAAAAAGCACAGAGAAAAGAAACGAAAAACACAAAGAAACGACATACGAATCCGCCATACCAAATCCATACCCCCCCCTGCTTTACCCTAATCTTGTGCCATAGGCCTATCCAGATGTCCGATTATTACATCAGAGCAACCACTGGTTGACAGCTGTTGTCCGGCCGGAACGGAGTTCATCACAATCCCACTTTTTATCTCATAGCTATTATTTATTCCGTTGAGCTCTTTAGACAGAAGGAACCAGACAGACACCACAACTTATGATCACATCTAAAGTCACTATGTCCGACGAGCGACTTCTCACCGCACACACATCATTATTTTCCACACACACACCCACCACACACATCTCGACTTCTGCACCCACACCATCTACCCTCTTACTTCAGTACGATCATCCCGTTCGTCACCCACCACACTTGACACCTCTCGCTACACCTCTACCCAGCGCACCTATCTCTACTACACATCTACACTAACACATACCTCACATTATCCCTCCACCAACACCACAATCTAGTCTTTCAATATCTGTGTGTTGTAAAAAAGTATGATTAAAAAAAGAAATGATGTAGTGTAGTAGACTGATAGCCATGATGTAGATGATGTAGTAGATAGAAGACGAAATGTATTGTGTGTGATGTGATGTTGATGAAAAAAAGAACAGATGTGGTGTGACAGAGAAGTGTGTGTGTGTGTGTGTGTGTGTGTGTATGTGTGTGTGTGTGTGTTGTGTGTGTGTGTGTGTGTGGTGGGATGTGTGTGTGATGTGTGTGTGAGTGCAGTGATGGTGTTGTTGGTAATAATATATATAAATAGATAGATAAGATATAATATATATAGATGATAAAAAATAAAACGGATAAATATAATAGATAATATAATATAAAATATATTATATAAAAAAATAAATAGATAAATAATAATATTTACATGATGGTGAGTGTAGTAAGATGAAGATAGATGTAGAAAAAAAAAAAAAAATAAAAATAGATAGTAGACCAAAACACGGTGCCCACGAGAAGAAAGAGACAAAAAGAAATCCGTGTGTCGAAAAAACAACCCGTGCTGTGCTACGTGTGATAATGTGGTAATATATATATATATTATACTGTATAATAATATATAATAATATATATATATATATATAATATAATATATAAATATATATGATATAGTGGTACATATTATGATGCCATAAATGTAAATACTAAAATTAATTCTCTCCCTACCTCCCTCTCGATCCTTCCCTTTCCTGATTTCATCTAATCACACTCAAACTTCACTCAAAACCAGCCACAATATCAATATCTTTTTTTTCTTCTCTGACCAAACTGGTAATTATTATACATGAGAGTAAACACATCATTTTAGAAACTTTCTTGTTTTCAGTGCGCCCAGTTAATATTAGTGCCGAGAAAAACGTCTCTCTCATCTCTCTCTCTACTCTGAACTCATCGTCTCTCTCTCTCTCTCGTACTCTCTTCTCATCTCTCGTCAAATCTCTGCTCTCTCTCTCTCTCTCTCTCTCTCTCTTCTCTCTCTCTCCTGGTTCACACGAGCAAGCAAGAGAGAGAAAAAAAAAAGGAATGAAAATAGTAATAATGATAATGAAAAATAGATAGATAAAGAGAAACATAAAGAAAGAAGGAGAATTTCTTAACCACATCCCGCCCCCCAACCTTCCGTGTCCCCTAACCCAATCTCCTTCTTTCCTCCCCTCTCCCCTTCCCCCTTCTTCCTCCCCATACCCCCAACATTTCTCTCCAATCACCCTACGACCTTCCTTTCCTGTCCGCCCTGTCTCTCTCTCTCTCTTTCCCCCAACCTCCACTTCCCCCCAACGTCCCCACTCCTTTACCATCCCCTCCCCACCCCTCCCCCCAACCTCCCCAGGCCTCACCACCCCTACCTACCCCAACCTCCCCACGTCTTACCACCCCTACCTCCCCTCTTCACCACAACCCCACACCCCTTACCACCCTCCCTCACCTCCCCCCAACCAACCCCCACTCACCTTACCCCCTACCTACCCCCGTCGTCATCCTACACACCCTTACCACCATCCCTCCCCCAACCTCCCCGTCCTCACCCCTGTCTTCTCCCCCCAACCTCCCTAACGTCCTTACCACCGCCTACTCCTCCCTCTTCATCCCCAACCTCCCGCACACCTTACTACCATCCCCCACCCTCTCCCCTCCCCCCAGCCTCCCCATACCTCGCCACGCCCTTACCTCCCCCCAACCCCCACGCCCTTACCTCCCCCTCCCACGCCCCTACCTCCCCCCCCCCCAACCCCAACCTCCCCACTCACCACCTCTCCCAACCTCCCTCCAACCTCCCCCACGCACTTACCTCCCCCCCTCCCCAACCCCCAACTCCCCCCCCCACCCCCCACCACCCTCCAGCACCCACTCCTTATCAGTATCGAGCAGCAGCATACGTCAGTCGCATGTCATTCCGAAATAAGTTATTGCACCTTTTTATCTTCATATCTGAAACACAGGAAATGAACGCGGGGTGGGAGGAGGAGGTGGGGAGGAGGGGACGGGGGGAAGAGGGGGAAAAAGAGAGGGGGGAGGAGGGGACGGAAGGGATAGGGTGAAGGGGAAGGAAGGGAAGGAAGGGAGAGGGAAAAGAGGGAGGTGGAAGGGGAAGGAAGGAGGGAGGAGGCGGGAAAGAGGAAAAGAGAGGGGAGGAGGTAAAGAAGGGAGGGGAGAGGGGGAAAGAGAGAGGGGGAGGAGGTAAAGGAGGGAGGGAAGAGGGAAAAGAGGGAGGGGGAGGAGGTAAGGAGGGAAGGGAGAGGGGAAAAGAGCGAGGGGGAGGAGGTAGAGGAGGGAAGGGGAGGGGAGGGAAGGGAGAGGGGAAGAGAGGAGTAAAAACGGTACGCGCGGTTGCCAATTTGTGATTAAATGTCGGTTTCCGTTACGGTGTTGTATCCCATGACGTCACGAGCTCCGGAACAGCCATTCTACAACCGTCGTAACGTAGTTGGTCGTTTATTTAATATTCCCTTAAGGATTTCAATATTTCCCTTTCTCTCTCTCTCTCTCTCTCTCTCTCTCTCTCTCTCTCTCTCTCTCTCTCTCTCTCTCTCTCTCTCTCTCTTCTCTCTCCTCTCTCTCTCTCTCTCTCTGTCTGTCTCTCTCTCTCTCTCTCTCTCTCTCTCTCTCTCTCTCTCTCTCTCTCTCTCATCATCTCTCTCTTCTCTCTCCTCTCCTCTCTCGTCTCTCTCTCTCTCAATCTCTCTTTTTGCTGCCATGTCTATCTATAGTTATCTATCTATCTATTTTATAATGTTTGTTTGTCCTCCGAACAATCTGACTATCAATCTGTTTTCCTTTCATCTTCTTTTCTCTTTCTTCTCTCTCTCTCTTCTCTCTCTCTCTCCCTCTCTCTCTCTCTCTCTCTCTCTCTCCTCTCCTCTCTTCTCTCTCTCTCTCTCTCTCTCTCTCTCTCTCCTCCCTCCCTCCCTCCTTCCCTCCCACTGTGTGTGTATGTGCGATCATACATGTATGTGTGTGTGTTAATGTGTGCGTGTCCCCACGTACACGTAATCTATCAATTTTTTTTCTTCCTCTCTCTCTTTTCCCTCCTCCTTCCCTCCTCCTTCCCCCTCCTCATCACTCCTCATAAACACTTCTCTGGCGATGACGAAATACGTACTACGCTAATGAGATGATTTTTTTTTCCTCTCTCTCTCTCATTTTCTCATTTACTCATATTCTTCCTTCCCCACCGAAGAAGGAGAAGAAGAAGAGGAAGAAGAAAAATAATGGAATGAAGAAGTTTATTCCCAGCCTTTGAAAAGAATAGAAGAGAAGAGAGAGAGAGAGAGAGAGAGAGAGAGAGAGAGAGAGAGAGAGAGAGAGAGAGAGAGAGAGAGAGAGAGAGAGAGAGAGAGA